AAAGTGGAAGTATGACAAATACTTTCGCTATTCTGGTGAGTGAGGTAGCCGGAGCCCAATTTTTAAAAGTGTTGTCAACGCATCTGTGTTACCCTCGGGTGTGGCAGATATCCATGGGCGGCGGTATTCACTTAACATCAGGTGGACCGTCTGCTCGTTTGACAACTTTTCGCATAAAAAAAATTTAAAACATGCAAAAGTCCCATACACACTGTCAATATACCTGCAATAAGTCTCACAGATATAACTGTCCGGATTCCCCCGTGTCGTGCCCCGTGCGATCTATCTAAAGAGGCGAATTTCGGCGAACAGAGATACCGCACAGCGCGACCTCACACGCCGCGACCTATTCTTGTCTTTATTTAGAGGATGATCTCATCGCGTCGCCGGTCGTGAGTCCCGCGGCGAATCCGAGACGGACGACGATTGTTCCGCCGCGGGGTTTGGGCTTGCACGCTCGATTTTGGAGGTCCTCGCTAGGTCATTACTGAATTGCGATGCGTCTGCTCCGTCAGCACTGAATCGGGATACCTTTGGTCTTCCGGAACTGAACTAGGCCTGTCCCTTTTGCTTGCCGACTTTGAATTTAATTGGACAAACGACAAACGACAACATCATCGTTGCCGTTTGTCGTTTATATTTACTTTTATTTTTATGATAATCACAGCGTTGTAGTGGTATTTATTTTATATTATACTTCTATTGTTGTGATTCACGAAAATAGGATGGGATTTTGCTAACGTTTACACTTTGTGGTCATGTGGATGAGGTGCGGAGCACATACAACCACTGATAATATTATTATTTATTTCTCGCTGGTATAGACTAAATTTGTGGACTTATAGTAACCCATTGTGTACTAATGCATTTAATATGCTTGTTACTTCAAGTAAAGCAATTTAATTTTGTCGTAGGCAAATTTCAGCTCAAGTTGAAGTTTGTTAAACAAGAAACCAATAAATTCTATTTCTTGTTTAACAAACTTTACTGGCTGTAATTTAATTGGTTTGAGAAGCCATCGCGATACGTCTAACTCGACGAAGTTGGACCGGTCACGTTTAGTGGCTTTGTAGAGCTTCGGTTAAAACGAACTCTTGGATCGATAATAATTCCTTGGTTACGAACGAGCATTGCGTGCTTTCTACCGAATCGAGTTTCATAATATCATATCCGCTGTGCACTCCGTTCCCTTAACTGTTAATTGTATTCTAAATGTCAGGAGTAAGTTTAAAGTAAACTCTATAAAATCATGTAAAAATTTGAATAAGTTTCCGTACATTAAATCTACAGCTAAGTTCAAGTACAGCTATTAAATAGACTGTTATTCTGTTGATTTTGTAGTGTAGGTTTGATTTTGGACATTCAAACCTCGAAAGAAGCCATGAAAAAATGAATAAATAAATTATTTTACCCGGAGTCTGGGTATAGTGTGTTGCCACCGTTTTATTTTATTATTAACATGAAACATAATGTGAATCAGTAACGATGACACCAGTTGCTCACGAGGTCGATAGCTAATAACTCATTAAAGCAAATGAACGCACTTGTCTTTACAACGCTTTGGTCCGTTGTACAAAACACAACTAGCGTGTGATGCGAAGGTCGCGGGTGTGACCTTCATGATGTTCTTCTCTCAATCTTTGTACTTTTATTAAATAGAAAAAACAATGCATTATTGATTCGAATCACATTTTAAGAGACATTAAACGTATAGACGGAAAGACATCCGGAAAAATATCTTATCGGAATCAGTGATCAAAGCTATAAAAGAGTACCGTTCAGGATACTGGCAAATCTACATACCGTTACTATGCGGTAAGAACACAATTTTTAGCATGTGCGGGTTTAGTACTAAGTGAGCTGTAACTTTACGTAATACCGGTCCTTTTATTAACTTAACCGAAGGACTTATACAAGTTGTGGGGATACAGAAGCTATGGTAATTTTTAAGAGGGATCACGCTGTTTGACTCGCGCAAAACACGTAAAGCAAAAGTAAACTTGTTTATTGCACGCTTTTACCTGATGCTATTTTAAAGGGGCCATATAAATCAATAAATTGTTTTCAAATGAAACTACGGTAACGTTACGCTTTAATGACGTCGAACCATAAATAGATAAACTACCCTCGAATTCGTTTGCGTATAGCGGCTATCCTCTGACTTCCGCCTCCCCACCCCCGCCCCGCTTCCGCCGTAAACGGGGGGGTTATTGCAGCTAACGCACTTTTGAGTGTTTCCAACGTCTGACGTTCGTCGGAGTTTTAGTAACGGTTATGTTTTTCTACACCGGTCTGCTCGTGGACTGTGCAGTCCCATTCGAAATGAGCCTTACTTGAGCAGCAGATGTTTACTATTTTTAGAAATACCTCATCAAAGGGAGGCTCTCCTGATCAATCCCACCGCAGCTCTCTTCTAAATCCGTTTGTTTTGATTATTTATTATTACTATTACTAGCTGCTGCCTATTCTATGCCGACGTAGTCGCGCTACGTCTGCATAGAATAGGCTGAAGGCGTAACATTCAGATAGAAAGAAAGGTATACATAAAATATGTATATAAATTATAGCCTACTGTTTTATTCTGATGTATAACCTATATTATTGTAAAGTTTCATTAAAATCCATTGAGTAGTATTTGCTTGAAGGAGTGACAAACATCCATCCATACATACAAACTTTCGCCTTTATAATATATAGTGAGGAAGTAAGGATTCACGACGATGTTTTCAAAATGGTATTCTAGTTATACATCAGATATCGTTTGCACTACGCGGAATTATTTTCATCGGAAGCTCAAGCGTTTGTTGAATAATTATTTATTATTTGCTCCTATATAACTAAAAGCTTGTGATTTTTGGTATACATTGCGATTGAATGTGTTTATGGCTTATGACAGACAAATCTTTATTACAAAATTAAGAATCAGGTATTTAGGGACGAGCTCGAGTACTTAAACGTTCCTTTAGTAAATAAATAATCTTTATTATATGATTTCGAAATATTTTTATCATAATACGACGGTCATAGCGAAGTAAATGATTCACAAGTTAATAAATATTTTTATTAATAAATATTAAAAATCATTCTGATACCCGACTCAATCTACTTAAACTCCATATTATTGATAAAAATAATTAGATTCGTACTAAATCAAGATTGCAGAGGTTCGCTTTTGCAAAATATTAATCAAATAATTTCGCAACTGCGTTGCTACAGAATGATGCTTCCGTTCTATTCATTAAAGCTTAAGTGGGATGTGATTAAAACACTGATCTAATACTATACTATAGTTACTAGTGTGACAAGTGGACACAGTACAATGTACTGCTTTCAGTATCTCCGCTTCGTGCCCACGTAGTGTCGGATGCCTTGCATTGAATTCGACAATGGGTCAGCCGCGAAACGAACGCTCGGTATCGTGACGGAAACGCGGAGGTCGCTTCCTCTCGCGCTTCCGCTGGCACGAGTAGAGCGTGGTCCAAGCGACGAGCGGATGCGGGTTGTGATTTAAAATTTACGTGAATGAAAGTTGTCCGCACAGTGTGCAGCTTTTTCGAAGAAAAGTGAAGTCTTTGAATTTACAATTGTGACTACAAATTCACTTCATTATTTCATTTCTAAATAGATCAAACTGTATAACCTAGATTATTTATGTTTGTTTTCGGCCGTTTCGAACGATTTCGGCGGGCGTGCTGTTGAATGACGTCACTGGCATCATGCGTCTATTGCCGTCGCGCCCACTCAATTATCATTAATGGTTTTTCGGGTCGCGCCCTCGTTTTATTTTTCGAATTGATAATAGCACGGGATGGAGGGCAACGGCTGCGCGGCAATTCGAGGGTTCGCCTTTGGAGATTTATAGAATCATAACACAGTTATCTACGCAGCGATCATTCGAGCAATTAGGTTAATATACCTCAAAGAGGCAACCGGGGTCCATATTGTAAACCTTTATCAACATATCTACAACAGCATCAGGCGTTGCAGATGTCCGTGAGCGGCGGTAATCACTAAACATCAGGTGAACCGCCTGTCCGCTTGACAAATTTTCACATAAAAAATCGCGTTACATCCTACAACCAACATTCCAAGTATGAATTGATCAGTAGATCAGAAGTTTAGATTCTAACCTGTATTATGTATACGCTGCAAGTATCTGCATTGTACCGCATCGTTCGGTATTATTTCGAAGGAAGCACGGTGTACCGCACACTGATTTGTAATACATCTCAATTCGTCTCCGCGTCATCTGCGCTTCTCGCGTTGCGGAAAACGTGAGCCGCCCCTCTCGCCTCGACCTCCGCCGTCGATTGTTAGCGGCGACTCGATTTGTTTACGAACGCGCATTGTATTCTCGGAATGTATCGCTTCGAAACTTACCCTGCTCGGCCTCGATACGTCCCGTTTGTTGTTGCCGTCCTTTTGATATCCATCGAGCGAATTGCAAGTCTCTTCGGTTCATTGGCGACGCGCTGTGATACACTACTGATGTTTTTTCGCCGTGATATATGTCCCACAGCCAGGCAAAGGCCTCCTCTGTAGAGAGTGTATTAGGGCCTAATCCACAACGCGACCCCACTGCGGATTGGCGGACTTCGAAATGTTTTTTTTTTTGTTATCATTTCGAAAATATGCAGGTTTCCTCACGACTTTTTCCTTCACCGCTGAGTATGTGATAAAAAAACACTTAAAATTAACAAAAATCTCACTGGTGCCGGCATTGGGATTTGAACTCGGGTCTCTCGAGCGTATTGAATTAAAATCGAGCGTCCGGCCACGGAGCTGTCACGGCTATACGTATACCGGATATAAATAGCTTCGATCTATTTGTATGAATTCGTCGTATGGTCGAGTCACGAGTAAGGTACGTCGCAGAGGAGTGAAGGTCCCAATTAAAAACAGTTGTGCTAATCGTTCGGTGAGTATCCGAGGCGCAGGCGCTCACATCGTTTCCCGCTAAGCGGAGCGCTTTCGAGCAATTTGCGTACGTACGGAAATTACACGCCGCGCTGTAGCGAATTGTCCGCCGCCGTGTCTCGGTTGTCGGTGGCCGTTCGCCCGACACGGACCCCGCTTCGATTCTCGGTATCTGGCTCGGTAAAGGGCGAGCCGCTTACCGAGAGTCTGCTATTTGGTTTTGAGGTCGAAGTTGAAACGTACAGAACGCTCTCTGCGACTGTTATAACGTAAGATTTCATTTTAAAAAGTACAGTAAACGATAAATGTTTTGATTAAAATGATTTTTAATGTATAAGCTGTGCTTAACTGAAAATAACCTTGAATAAAGAAAATTCACTGCACAGATTATCAATTAGTCAAGCGTTACATTTTAAACGGACGCGTAGCAAACGTGTCGTAAAGTGCTAATTTTGTGCCTCTTATAAATAGACTGCGTACACACAGGGTGACAATGTGCTGCCAAAAATAAACCGTATCGTAGCTTAGTGCAATTTAGCGGTCGACGCCAACACGTAATTATAGTAATTCTACTATTACAGGAGACAGTTTATTGTGACGGAGTGCCCCAAGGGTTGGCATTGAGCCTATACTTTTGTCGATCATGTACAAACGGACTACTTGAAGACGACTAGTGGTTTTAATACTGTGTGAGTTTGTGTTGTGACGTTGAAACTAGCTAGTGTGGTGTGTGAGTTAAAACAAATGCGGTGCGACCCGTGCCATTGAACCTATGGTCGGGATGATGTGGTTCAAGCGGGAACCAAAGCCGCCGGCGGACAAGTCCGCGGAGAATGGCGTTGTCGGCAAGCTAAGGAGGAAGAAGGCGGTGCTACTGAAGCCGACGAGGGAGTCCAGCGAGAGGGAGACGTCGACAGAGAGCGACAAGGAAAGGAGACGGTACTCCGACATACTTGATATGAAAGTATCTTTAGGTATGTATGGTGTTCACTTTCGTAGCGATGCTGCATCTGATGTTTCCTTGCCATTTTGAGGTAATTTTTTTAATGATTTGTAGGTTACTTTTACAAACACGGCTGAATACAATTTTTATGTCGAGACAAAAGTACTTGATTGTTAGATATGCGTGTCAGCGTTCGCTCTCATGTTTTATTGACTAATTGCAGGCATGCGTTGACAACAAATGAGTGTTGGTGTCCTTTGAACATGTGCATTACATATGTACTATGGAAACTTTTAAAGATATTATTCACCAACTGATATGAATCGTATAAGCAACCTGATAAATAAGTATGAAATATTGTAAACCTGTTTTTATTGTTTCAAACAAATAATGAAAGAGAAAATACTTACGTCAAAAATTATATCACTATATTATTGTACAGTAAATTATACAGTAAAAGTACTCCAAACAAACATTGTGTGCGTACTGTTAAGAACAGAATTTACTTAAAATTTTCAATTCCTTAGAATTATTAAACGTAAAAGAGTAAATTATGGAAACGAACTAATTTTCCTTAGTACATCGCGTTGCTATCCGTCACTAATATTGTACTGTACTACTCATATTGAGCTCGAACCCTCGCCGAAAGGCGAGTTTTCTAGAGGCGAAAAAACTCTTGAAAACTCGTCTGGGATTAAATTGAAAAACGATCCCGAGCCGCTCGTTACGGCGGCGTGCAATCTAAAAAGCAAACGAGAAAAAAATCTCACCGACGCTCCGATGTTATTGCGTCACTTTTAACCGGGGCGTAACACGATAAGCAACGGACGGAGGGAAGCCGGGAGGAAAGTGCTGAATAAATTATCAAAAGGGAAGTTCATTACGAGACGGCGTCGTATTACGGCGAGTCAGAAACTAACCATAAAGTATGGGACACAGTCAACGCTGAAACTGAACCTATAGATTGAGGCGAACGAAACACTGACCATAAAGTAGGAGACGTAGAAAACCCTGAAACTTAGTCTATGGATGTGTAAGCTTAACTTAGTCTATAGATGTAGAAGCTTTCATTGCCTGTCCTGTCATATAACACAAGTGTATATGTTTTTTTCTTAAGTATTTGAATACATTTTCATGTACCGCAAGCGACATTTTGTCTTTGTTATTGCAACAATTAAATGTGCCCAAGCAATTATAGATGATATTAGATGAGATTACACTCCTTGATTTAAGATGTTCAGAACGGAATCGCGAAACTGCCTTGTGATTTGCTTGCTTTTTACTTGCTTGGTAATGTAATAGTGAAAAATGAATTTTCAATTCCCACGTTGCAGAAGCACCGCAGCAACATTTAATCAACAAATTCTTTAAATAAATTCCAACATTGAATCGCTTACGATGACAGTTAAATATTTGCGTTCGAAATGTAACCTCTCAATTGCTTCTTTTTTCATTCACGAGCGAGCACTTTCACTGAAATCTACCTCGTGCTTCGCCTCAAGTAGACAGGATCAATCAAAATGTGGTCGGATGCATTAAACAAGGATATAACGATCACGAAAATACTCTAGAGGGACAATCCTTTATCCTTTATCTCTATCTCGCGCTTTGTTAACAAAGAGCCCAATTCCCATATCGGCCGTTGTTTCGCGTTGCACGTAAATCGCGGGCTTCCTTATTCTTTGTGGCACATTCTAGAACGGGTCGCGACAAGTTGCCATAACCGTAAGGTCGGCTCTGACATTTGTGCCCGCACTCGGCGGCTGGCTGTCGTACACCGCTTTGTCTTATTGTCAGTCAGTTGAATTAATAGTGTTCAGTTGTAAGTGATATGCGATTGTGTCTTTAGATTGGTTCAGCTCTTATCATCATCATCATCATCACTAATGTCATTACCAACATCCCTATATATTATTTCTCGGGTGTGCTTTCGTCGCAACGCCACAACTTTCATAGTTCTTCATCAAATTAAATAATTGAAACAAAATTATAAAGATTATTTTTTTCTCTATCGACGAAAACATGCGAGAAGAATAAAGTTCAAATTTCCTTTAAAACTTATGCAATATATGTATGATGATGCCATGCCATCTATTGATAATTTATTTAAATAAATTAGAGTGAAAAAAACGGTATTCTTTAAAATAAAACCTGTCATTGATAAATACTTATTTACACAGTTATACAAATACAAAATTACTTTATCCAATATAGATGCTTTACACTTTCTCATTGATAGTCAAAATACTACTAAAGTTGGGAAAAGCCACTGACCTGAGAAGAACCGGCAAAAGATCACGGTACTGTGCAAAAATTTCGCACGGGTCAAGTAATCATTATTATTGACATAATTATCATTAATTTTACTTTCATTGTATTTTCGTAATATTTCCCTCCCCAGAAGTAAAGCATTTTTTATCATAAATAAGATTCACTACAATCATTTCGTTGTAGTCGAGGACGCGTACAAAAGCAGCTCTGGAAATGTAACTGTAAATCTTACATACAAGGCGGTAGAATGTGACAGTCCTTTATATTTATACGTTTGTTATTTTTAAATGGAAGTTAACAAATAAGTTTTTAACGTGTTGCGCCTTTGACATTCAAATCCAAGTCGAAAATACATTCACCAGAAGTTTTGATCTGTTAGTTAACGGATTTTTAACTGCGAAGTCATGCGTACTGGAAATAAAACGGGCCCGTCGCATTGCTTACATTAGATTTTTACGACGTTATATCCGCGCTGTATCAGCGGTTCACACTGCGCGTAGGATCGCGCGCACCGCGAGATAATGCGCCATAAAACCACCTTTAAAACAACACAGATAAGCCAACACTGCCGCTTTACGTAACTATGGTGCGACCTGTTTGCCCTGGTGCAAGTCAAACGATGGATTAATCCAACGTAATTTAATGGCGGACTGTTGGGCTAGGGAACGTTTTAAGTATTTCTAAATGCTTGCAAATATGTTAAGATAGATTAAGGACAATTTAGGACCTTGCTTCAAATCAACGTTGTTAGAATTTAAAAATTAAAAAGATGTTGCGTTCGCTTACTCTGATCATTTTGGTAGTGTTTTATTGTAGCACTTAAAAATACATTTACATACTAAGGCTGTAATTTTGCCTTTGTAGGTTGTAATTATAGATGGTTATATTGTTCTTAAAATAAAACACGTAAAAGTATCACTACTAAGAAATGACCTCTTCTGTACAGAGGGTATTATGGTACAGTACACCACGCGACCCAACTGTGGATTGGCGGATTTCACATATCTGTATCATAAACAAGGTTCTCCCTTGATGTTTTGATCCACCGTCAAGCAAGTGATGAATCAGTACCAAAATGAATGCAATTAAAAATTTCATTGATACCGACACCGGTATTTGAACTTAAGTTGGATGCCGGATGCTGGAGGTATCATGAACCAACTTAATGTTGTCTTAATTTGATAAAAATCGAAAGAAACAGCTCAATGGGTAAGAACAATATACAATACTTACAATATTTGATAGAGAATACAAAATTTAATGATTTCATTTGAAAGTTGCACTCTCGCCGGGGCATTATGAATAAACATTGCAAAATATTTGGACGGGAATATTTGACGGATGGGAAATGGTAGCAAAATAGTTGGCTTTGTTAATAGGAAAGAAAACATCGGTAAACGATAATGGGCGAAGGTGCCGCTTTGATCCCAGGCCCAATGTGCGTCCCGTCTGTCATTTACAGGACGGACGGACGGACGTAACCGCGCGTAGCGACGTCGTAGACTTTAATAGGAGACGAGGCGCGTGGAAAAAAAAACTTCACAGGAATTTGTTTAATTTATTTTCACGCGAACCGCACACACGGGCGGCCAACAAACATTATTGTCTGTACAAAAGTTTTATAATCAACCTTACAAAAACATTCTATGCAAAGGCATGAACCGCCTTCGGTTGGATATCAATTGTGGAGGAAGCTTATAACTATTGGCCATTGGAAGGTGTCTCCTTTTAAGGCCGGTTTAAAGTAGGTTTAGTTTTGACATAAATATTATGGAGCACTGGAGGGAAAACTTACAGGACCGTACAAGGATGTGGTCAGAATCGAGAAATCTAAATGATTTTTTCTCATCAAAAACAGCTGTCGCCAATTCGTCGAATTTATGACCTTTACAGCAATAAGGAAAATTTGATTAGAAAAATAAGTGAAAATATCTCTTATTTTTCTATCCGTAAGAATAGTACAATAAGACAAATGTAGGATCATCATTAAATGACAACATTTTTAATTTACATGATGAAGTCATCATGTGAAGGTTTTTTCCCCCGAGTGAATAATAAGACGCTTGGGTGCTTGGGGGACTTTGGATGAATATCAAAATATCATACAACGCCTTCATTTTGCTAGTGAATTCAGTGTACGTGTCTCGGCAATTCAAAATATTAGATCTTTTTATAGTTATCATCCGATTTCTGTCTATCTCATTAAATTCAAGATAACGATTGTTAGTTGCTACCATAACACGTTACGGTATTTCGCTTTTAGTTAGAAATAGTAGTTTTATATGCGACAACGAAGAAGGAAAGTAAAAAAAAAAAAAAAACTTTCGCTGGCCCATTGTTTGTTTTGACACAAGAAGCTATTTACATAGATTTGCTTTCTCGTATTAATTGCAAGCGAGGCGCCTTTTGTTGCGAAGAAAGTGACATCCGAAAGGCCGAGCTAGCTAAATTCACCGTAGTAGTAGTGTCCAGGGATTTGCTAACACCCGCCGCTTTCATTTTTAGCGACGTTTAGTACTTTTCGAACTGGAAGGTTGAGCCTCGTAACAGAATAAATTGCAGTCATATTTTTCAATTACTTAATATTTAAAGAGATTCGATTTCACGAATTGGAAAAAAAGAATTCATTTTAAATTTACATGCACCGTAATTCAACAGAGATCGTAATTTCGTTTTCTTTTTTATCTTACGGGTTAATATACGAGCTATAATGATAGATAATTTGTTGTTTCATAAAACGACGTAAATATATGATTGAAATTGTGATCTCTCATGTTTTTTTCTATTATACAGCGTGTCGTTACCATTGCGACAATAAATGAACACACATATATAGGAAAACTTTTAAAAATGGTATTAAACATTTACATTCTTTAAACATCAATATTTAACGAGTTATTAAATTTTCCAAAACAAAGAATTTTAGAACACCCTTTCGTATAAAACTGTAACGTAAAGTTCATTTGTAAAGGTCACAAAGTATATGAATGGGTTGAATGAATTTAAAAGAGACAAAACATACTGTTAGAAGGAGAGGCTTGTAATGCGACGCTGTGGCGCGAGTTGTATAGGATGTTACAAATGTTGTTTCTTTTTTACTTAATTAGTTTGTTTGAAAAATATTTTTTTTTAATTATGGATTTTGTTTAACGTTAATATTTTTTTTTGATTATTGGTAAGTAGCGTCAGACGCGTGTTCATTTATTGTCGCGATGGTAACGACACGCTGTATATCACTTGTTTAATGACTGTTATAATAACTGCATAGAAAGTTCTGACGTCTGATGTTGACACTGAAGCCTTCATTGTACGCAAAACTCAATTGGTTTCTTTACAGCGTTAGTCTTGGAATAAAAATGGCCCATGGTTACGTAATCCTCATTGTTCCTATAATTGGAAATCGATCATTTATTAATGAAGGTATTGGCAATTTCCTTTGGTCATTGTTAATTTAGTTCTCGGCTTTTATAACATCGATCTAGCTAATATTATTTGATAATTTGATTGTAAATTATTTGATGTGCACTTCAAACATCATACATAGGTACATTCTTTGAATTTTTTTCGTAAAATTTGTATTCAACCCTTTTTTACAACCCATACCGATTAAATTGTCTTTTAAAAAAGGTCTTCCATGTTACTTTTACTTTTATTTTCAGATAGTAAATTATTACAATCATCATAATTTAACTTTTACCGTTTATAAATGGCAAGGAAACGCAATAGTAAGAGCAAAATATTAAAATAGGTAATGTGTTCACCAGAGCGGCGTGATGAAAGTGACGAGTCACTCTACGAGTCAGCTGATTGTCACAGTGACACGATATCGGCCAGTGATGACGCCCTGCCAAGATTGAGCAAAACGCCAACGATCAGCAAGGAGTCGCTCAAGCTGGCCGTCACCGACGAGGAGGTAGACCAAGCGAGGGGTAAAAGGGGACACCGAAAGACAATGTCTCTATCCAATCCTCTAGAGATGGTTAAGAGTTTAGGAGACGAGTGGTTCGACCACACGAGAAAAGATATAGACAAAAACTACGACAAGAGAAAATCCAGGGAATCGCTTTGGAGTGAAGAGGATAGGGATTCTATTCATGGATCCACAATGAAGCTAGACCAGACGAGGAAGAACAGCAAAAAAGACGATAAGAGTAATCCCACAAGCAGGAAGGGCAGCGCCACAGACATCTCCAAAGCAAGGAAGGGAAGTAAGGGTTCATCGGTCAGCGCTTTGAACTTTCTAAGAAGAAAGAAAACGCCTACATCTTCAAAGTCTGTAGAGGCTGTTTTGGAAGTAGCTGACAGAATTGCCACTACAGAGGAAATTTTGAACTACACAAAGTTCTTTTTGGAAGAAGAAAAACGTCACTCGTCCCTGTGTGAAACCAAACCGCCCGTAGAGACTGACACGGACGACGAACCACCACCGCCGAAGTTGGTGGGAGAACATAGAAGACGGTTGAGTAGACAAACTTCCAGGAGCAAAAGCAAGGTTAGGGGGAAGAGTCAGTCTTTGAAAGTGAACACGCTGAGAAAATCCCACAGTGGCACTCTGAAGAAAGGAAAGAAGAAGAGTGTTAAGACTCCATCGAGCGGTAGGAGTCGACAGGCGAGCATCGTGGACACTCCGCCCAATCCGAAGAAGAGCAATGCTGACACCAGTAAGCAGCATTCCTGGCTTTTCAGCGCATCTACGTACAGAGGTATTTTTATTACTTTTTTAACTTTGAAGTGGTGTTACGTACCTAAAATAAATATATCTGTTTCTTTTGAAGTTTATTCAATTCATGATTGGTTTTATGCGTTTTGCGGTACGTTCTGTTTTAAAATTGTATGGTTAACATTTGTGCTTTGGCTACTTTTGCCATGCTCAAATAGACTCAAATGTTACCTTATATTTTGTATCAGTGCTAATAAAATAGATCATTCTATATTTATTAATTTTTTTTTACAATAACGTAGTATATTTTGATAACACTGCTCAGGAATGGGACAATAACTAAAAAAACAGTAAAAACGTTGCGGTAACTGTCATTAATTATACTTTACCTCAACAGTCATGGATCTAGCTGCCCTGGGGCGCCTTGTTAGGATTGTCTCATTACCTCCAAGTCTTGCGTCACCATCACGTCATCGAGACTTGTGTGATTGCAAAACTCTTCCATCGTTTTCTAGCTTTTTTATTAAGGTGTTTCTTAATTTGGCTTCGCAGACCAGTTGTTTATGGTTTTCTTTTTATAATCGCGATTAAGATAGCCGCTTGCAAATTTGAAGCGATCGCTAAGGCAATAAAATTTATTGTCTAATATAAATTAACATTATTTAACTTACTAATGAAAACATCATTTGGTAATGTAAAGTTAAAGTTTTTTACACCGTTAAGAAGTAGCTAATTTACTTGATAAACCTTTCAAAGAATTCACGAAACGTTGATTCACGAAATCAATATTTCGACATCACATACGTTGGAATATATGTTTCGATGTATTACTATTGATGGATTACATTACAATGCGTAAACTAGTCAGGGCTGTTTAAAAGTCTTCAGTGTTGTATAACCTCATTACGATTTGTTTTTTCGCTGTGGAACATTTCCCTATGCTAATTTAACGGGTCTTGTTTTATGTAACGGCTATCAACTTGAGAATTATTGCAGATTTCACACATCTACTGCCTTTATTGCTGCTATTTGTTGGTAACCAATTTCTTGTTTATATTTTATAAACATCAACCGACTAGTTCTTTAACTATAGCATGTTTTTTTGTGATCTGTTGCGACCTATTTGATATTACTTTTAAGATAAGGAAAACTAATCTCATTTTTACAATATTTTGAGAAGCGTGTCTATCCATCATTACTGCTAGGAATTCTATCCTTCGATCTTTTATATTGTTTTTATTTATAAGAGATATTGGCCATCAAGCACAGTCTTCGCAAGTATTTTTAAGCGATGATTTTGTTGGATTTTCTTATTTCCAAATAGCAAATGTTTCCTTATTCATTTCAATTATTACCGTTCTCACATTCGTGTGAAACATTCAGTATAGATACGGTCGCGGATCGTGGGAAATAAAACGGTCGAAACAATCCAAATTCATTGCTCGAAATGCCACGAAACAGCTGCAAAATAATACCTAGAACCAGTGGTGCACGAACGTTTAGTAATGTGGCTGTACCATTAATCCATTGGTTAATACTGTTTTAAGTTTAGATCAAAGGCTACGGTTTATTTTACTTTTATTAAGCGCCTAGCGCTTGACCAGCTGATGCTAAACGGCCATGCTAGGCAGAATTTTTTTAATTTTTTAAGATAGCCACTTCGACTCCCGTTGGGGAAAAAAAAAAGGATTTGTTTATGACAAAGGAGCAGGCTGGGCCACTTGGTGGTCCAGTCCACTCCAGAGGAGTCCCAAGTGCGTAGGAAGTAATAGGCTATCTTCTTGTAGGTCCTCGAGTGACTCACTAACAGATGTCTCGGATCAGGTCGTACGGTATCTTTGGACCTAAAGGTTTTAGTATCTTTCTAATGTTCCTTATTTCAATAGTTATAGGTTTACAAAACCTGTATACATGTAGTGAAGATTAACGCTGCAAATTCTACTCGGCTATAAATTCTCTTTTTATCGCGTGGAAACGTAAAAAAACATTTTTTACATATTATTTAAGCTGTTTAGGCGATCTGGTAGAGGTTTTTCCATTCGATTCGTTTGTAATAACATTGGAAATGTTGAATTTTCATTTTTAAAAAACCACGACATTGAACGGATTTAATTAATGTTTGTTTGCTATTCCTCATACACGACTTGAACGTTACAATAATAAGATATGTGTTTTCGCAAGCGGCTCCATCGTTGCAAGGCCAGCATCGTTTGATCGTCGCGTTTCGTTTGGCGATGTATCCCGTTCCGAGAAAACGTGGGCATCGGCCACAATTTACAACAATAATACCGCAGAACTGTTCGTTTGATTTTCCTAAAATGTTTTCCCTTTATCATCTCTTACCTTTTTAAATGTATCGACGTAACTTGTGAACAGTCCATACGTCCTATTGTACTTTCAATTAGGTATTAGTCAACGTGTATAATTTCGTTGATGGAAAATGCTATAAAATGCTGTTCATGATATAGTAACGCTGTCATATACCATAGTAAAATATAAAAAACATCCACGGATAGAAATAGATGAATCTGTTTTTCAGTCAGATATTCATACTCTAATCTACAGTCAAAGAGTTCTTCTTTCACCAATATTCGTTGCAATTAGAAGTTGACACTAAAAAATTAAACAGAACAATTTACATTTACTCTATGTTGCAATGGTTATTAAATATTTAAATCGTTTCTAACCAAAATATCATTGTATATTGTGATATTTCTTCATCACTGATTTGTTTCTAGTTCGATAATAATTTCTTGGCAATAACACTAATCCTAATATGCACAAACTGTCTGTATGACTTTTTGTTATTTTTCTTTGCCGTGGCCCAATGCCGATATTCAATGAGCCCCTTTATGGTCTGTCGCAGCCCTGCCATTCATGCGCCACGTCCCTGACCCGGTACATTCCTGGTCGACTATGTCATAAATAATTCGCAGGGTTGGCAGAAGCCGTTCATTAATAACGAGGGACGTGAACATTTGCACGATACCCGATCTATGGCAGCGAGATGCGTCCGAGTTTAGACCGTTAAGCCGTTTCGTGTGATCGCCCGTGCCAGGTGATATTCCTGCGTTGTTTACTAGAATTTCTGAAGTGGACACATGTTTTGGTGAGATTTTTGGCATTGACGATTGTTTGGTATTATTTTTTTTAATGTGAAAAGTTGCCATGCGAGCAGGCGGTTCACCTGATGTTAAGTAAATGTTAAGTAAATACCGCCGCCCATGGACATCTGCTACACCCGAGGGTTGCAGGTGCGTTGACAACCTTTTGAAAATTGGGCTCCGGCTACCTCATTCACCAGACGAAACGCGAGAGTATTATTATACTTCCACTTGACGCCAGTCTTCTGTGAGGTCGTGGTACTTGCCCGGACGAGCCTGCTCATTCGTGCAACAGCCGAGGCTACTGCGTGGCCCTACCACCGTAGATTTTTAGTTTATTTCGATTTCATGTCAGCTGATGGATCGTCAGTGAGGAATGATACCCATGGACGGTCACAACATCACAGACTAGTTTGGAAGGACCAACCGTAGGCTTACCCCGGTTACCTCCCTCATCGAACGAAACGCAAGAGTATAAACATTGTTAAGTTATGCCGGTCGTCTTTGTAACTGCAGTTCTTCCCCGGTCGAGCGGTCCTACGTGTTCATCAGTTGTAATGTACATTTTGTAATGTAAGCTATCTCTTCAACATTGTCAAAATATATCAGATGTTACTTTGTGTACTGCCTGACTATATATAAAAATGCATTGTCCTTAATTTTTACATCATATATTTTTCAACTTTTAATTACTTCATGTCCTCGTACCATATTTGGTTTCTCTTCAACAATCACCTTTCGCATAATTTATTTGTTTACATTTTTTCCAAACAGATGCACATTCATTCTCATTCATGTTAATTTGATTTCTATCTGCGTTAATGGATGCTTATTTCTGTTCTGTTTTGGGTTTTTAATGACCGGATTGCTTTTTGTAACATATATGAACAATCCTTTTCCCGTTTAAAAGTACATTTATTTTGTCACCCGTAGAAAGTTAATTCTGTTTGCGCGGCACAATTCTGCAATATTTATCAACTTATGACACGTCAACATTCGTAATGGATGCTCATTGCTCTAAATGAATTTAGAGAGGTCGTTCGCTTTAAAAGTCCTGACATGTTTATAACAAACGCAAATTGTGTTTCTTTTTGCCTTTTTTTACTTGTACTAAGTTCATTCATACTAAGTATAGACATCGGACAAGATGGTGTGGATGAAATTTTTGAACTGAACTACAGTGCCATTTTAAAGGCATTGCCTGCCTCTTTCCACCACTCTGTGGAAGCAAGAACGGAGCACATTATTTCCTGAAAGGCTTGCAAATACTTTGCATGGGCGGCGGTGATCACTTTCTATCAGGCGAGTCTCCTGTCCGTTTGCCTCAATTTTTTCCTTAAAAAAAAGTTACCGCTCATTAAAAAGTAATTCATTTTTATTTCCGGTTAGATATAACAGGTCCTCATCAGACGACTCATGTTTAAGAGTTAGTTTTCCACTAATCGTGTCCAACAAGGGTTCTTGTGAGTAAGAATCATATCGACAGCCCTATTCTGTATAACACAAATAATTGTCTATGCGCCGGTCTGTCCCGCATTCTTTGACCGGTCAATGGGCCGGCGAGGCGGGCTTGACGAGACTAGGTTTTTATCCCGGACCCGCCCCGCTGTTTTCAGTCGGGGCCGACACCTGTCCGCCGTGCAGTGTCGATCGTCGTCAGTTGAATTCCCATCAGCCTATTGGACATGCAGACGGCATGGTGTTTCATTGTGAAACTCGTTTGCGATTCACCTTGTCGGCTGACTCTCTAATCGCAGAGTTTTTTTTTTTCTATTGACGGTATTCATCTTACGGCCGGTTTCAATATTCTATCTACAGATAGATTTGGTTACTAACGATAGGTATTTGACATTAGCTCTATAATACTTACGTCAAAATTCTATCTCCAGTAACAATACTATCTGTAGATAGAATATTGCAACCGGACCTTAATCGTGTA